TGAGCGGGACATGACCGTGACCCGCCCTGGTGCCGTGGGGCGCGCTGCTCACCTGAGCGGCACCTTCGCTGCTTTACGGAGCGTCCGGGGGCTTTTCCTTCTTCAAAATAAGAGATGTCCAACACACAAGTGGAAAATACTTTGTGCTATTTATCGGCAATTGGCCACCGCCAGAAAGACAGCGCTTTCACAGCAGTGTTTCCACAGGCAGCCTTTTGGTTACAACGAATTAGCATTGTCATCAATGTAGCATTAGCTCATTCAAATTAACATGAAATTGGCCCGACCATATTGCATAGACTTCCTATCTTTAATCTGGCCGTCGTCAACATCACAAAATTCCATACTCTGTACTCGGGTACTCTCCGCATGATAACTGGCGCTCACACAAAGGCGCGCACACGTACTGCGCTGCGCTGGGTTTAATTCTGAGATTATAAAATCATCATTAAATCTATCTTACAAAGCGTTTGTAGGTATTTTTTCAGCTTCCAGAGAGTAACTCAAGGTTACGCACTGTTTTTTGCACAAGGCAATCTCGCAACAGGAAACTAATCTTGACAAATGACCAGACTTTGATATCTGTGATCTGAAACACTGCTCATTAGACTGTTCATTTTATAAACGAATGGTAGTAAACCTGTTGAGAAGTGTAGGATAGCAGGAATACTTTACAGAGCACCCCTTACAGGTTTCAGTCAAAGCCATAAATTTGAAGGGGGGCACACAGATGCTCTGTGCCGAGACAAAGGCTCTGGCCCACACCAACCACATTTGAAGAAACACTTCGTTTGCTTTCTATACATCTCACAAATAATTTGCATAACTTTGACTTTTTACCCCCATGGCTGATTATCTCCAGCTCTCTTAAGTTAATGTCAAACCTCAAAATCCTTGGACTTGTTAAAGTATGTGGAGAGTGGAAATCAAATGCCTTTATGAGAAGCCCCAGGAAATCTCCGACTCCTAAGCACAACGAAAACATTCCAAAGAAAATTGTTCAAAGAGGACAAAGGAGAAAAGCAGAACAAGAAAACCTTGTTTTGAATCAACGATTGCAAGAGTTTTATAAATAAATTCTGTTGCCTGGACAATTTTGAAAGACAACTCAATAGGTTTAGGAGTTTTTAAGTGTGTTTGCCTCTATGCCTGGAACACTTGGGGGATTCAGCGGAGCTAAAGCTTGGAACAAAGGCCTGTCTGTCCATCTGAGTGCGTGCGATAATCGCTGCGAAGCAACCTTACAGTACTACCTAGTCAAAAAATCTTCACCAGCCAAGAGTGGGTGAACTTAACAAATTAATTTTGCATATATATCAGGGGCAATGAACACGCTGAGACATGTGGCCCTGTCTTTAAACAGTAGATGAAAATGTTCCTCAGCGGAAGAGGTCATAAAGATTTTATTTGTTAGGATATCCCTGTGAAGTCAGGCCGGATCAGTAATCCTTAGGAACAACCACAGCTACACGCTCACCGTGCCTTCCTGCATGGGCACAGCCATCTGGTGTTTCAGACGCACTGCTGATTTATTAGCTCTCGCGTGGTTACCTTGCAGTGAGTTTGACCCTGCTATACTCCTGAGAATCACGGTTCTGCTGTTTGCTCTTCTGATGTCCTGACGACCCACCCGTTACCTCTCTGCTGCTCACCCAGGTCCTTCATTTCCTCCTGTCTGGGGGCAAATAGATTTTAATTGTTTTGTTATAACTAATTTAATCTGCGCTGAGAGATCTCCATGTGCAGTGTGAAATTTGCTGTTCACATTAAGCGCGGTTCAAGAGGTTTGTTATACAGGACGGAGGTACAAAACCAGGCTAATTCAGCCAGGTGGTTTATTTACTGGACCTCTGCCGTGAAGCAGTAAATAGGAAGTTATTAAGCTGGGGTTGATACATGCAAGAGGACAGATGCTGGTGCCCAGCTATCAGAGGCGCTAAATCATTCTCCTTTCTGTGTTATTCTGACATTACGCGTGGCAAGAAATCACAGCAGATACCTGGCTTCTCCTGTTTAATAAATGCAAAGACGGTGGTCACAAGCTTTTATAACTCCTGTAGGCAGAGCCCCCAGCTCTGGCACGCTGCTGGCTGCCAACGGCCCGTGTGTGACATCCCTACAGCGCCGGCTGCGAGCTCGCTGGGCGCTCGTATGGCGCGAAATACCTCGGAGCTGAAGTAAAATACCTTGTAATTTCACACAGTGGAGCTGTCTTAAGAGGAGAAGTTAAGTTACTAACGAATGACATCTGTTACTTGTTCTTTGGAGAAATTTTGATAGTTCCATCTTTAGGTGACACAGAATGGGGGAAACACCGCGCGTGGTTGCTTGGGTTTTCTCCAGCATAGGACTTGGAACAGTTTTGTAGCCCCTTAACAGCTCATGGGTGCTTATAAAAAAGAAAAACTGTTGCCTGGTTACACTGAATTCTGAACATTCAAAACATCTCAAATGCACTAAAGCAAAACAGAAATATTGT